TGAAAGCCATTTTCTCATTCTTATATACGAATGAATGACCATGGACCAGAAGGCATTGAAAGGAACCCCATGAAAGCATGAAAGACAAACAGCTGACATTATGGGCAATTCGGAGAACATAAGATTTATTTTTTAAGAAATTAAAATTCAAATGATTACCCCAGATTAATGAGAAGAAGTTGCATCCATAAAAGAACACTTAGTTATGAAACAGGAATACAGAACAAAAGAGGTCTTGAATATTGAAAATATGATTGTAGAAATGAAAGATTGCTAGGAAGTATTCAGAAAAAACTGAGCTATGTGTCTTGCAAAGCAACTGGCAAACGCTAAAGTTCAGTGCTTGACCTTGACTGCAAAAAAGAAAACATTCCAAGTTTTTGATTAACATCCGCTTGTACCTCTGCAAGCGGTACCAAGAAAGTTCCAAAATGGAAGATGCCCTGAAACCACCGTGGCAAAATGCTTTCTTGAACCTGTTCAAGACAGGCAAGGAAAGTCTCAACTGCAAAGGGAAACAATTTGAGTCAGAGTAATTTGGGTTTGTTGTTGTCATCTGTATAAAAGGGAAAACTGCCATTTGAATAACTGAATAGCAGTAAGGTACCAAGCAGACTATTTAAGTTCAGAGCGGTGGCTCTGCACATCAGGAATGATGCCACAGGTGCTGGCCACAGGTCTGCTGGTGGCTGCGGAGAGCTGCAGCTACACAGCATGCACCTGCCATCTTTTTTGATTCATGAACATCAGTATTTCTCTAGGCATAGCCTTGAATTATATTTAGTGTTATTTCTTAGTAGTGTTTGATGATTAAAATCTTGTTCTTTGACAACAAATGATCAATCTTCCAGGTCTAACATTGGATTCATAGGTTTTCCAGATGAATAAAATGAAAAAAAAAATGGAGGAAAGAATATCAAAGACACAGTAAAATTTCTTTTTTTTTTGAGATGGAGTCTCGCTCTGTCGCCCAGGCTGGAGTGCAGTGGCCGGATCTCAGCTCACTGCAAGCTCCGCCTCCTGGGTTCACGCCAGTCTCCTGCCTCAGCCTCCTGAGTAGCTGGGACTACAGGGGCCCGCCACCGCACCCGGCTAGTTTTTTGTATTTTTTAGTAGAGATGGGGTTTCACCATGTTAGCCAGGATGGTCTCGATCTCCTGACCTCGTGATCCGCCCAACTCGGCCTCCCAAGGTGCTGGGATTATAGGCTTGAGCCACCGCATCCGGTCAACACAATAAAATTTCTTAGAGCTGAAGTGATGGGAGTCATCAGATTCAAATGGCCTGTAGAAGGCTGAGGAGGATGAATAAGAAAAATCCACTCCCGGACATGACTTCATCACATTTCAGACCCCAAATATGGAAAGAAGGCCCCCAAAACATCCAGAAATAAAGAAAAGGCTGTCTATAAAAGAATGGACATTAGATGACCTCAGGCTTTGGAATTTTTACAATCAAGTAGTCGCAAGGTCTCCAGTGTTCTGAGGAGAAATGATTTTGAACCTGGGATCCTATAGTCAGTTAAACTACCAAGTGAGTATGAAGGCAAAATAAGGTATTTTTGGGCATTCAAGGATCAAAGTTTCCAGCTCTATATATTTATATACACATTTTATATATATATATATCATTTCTAAGGAAGTTACTTGAGTAGACTGAGAATGAAAAGGTGTGACTGAACACACAGAAATATTTTTTTAAATTCCTGGATAACAACTGTTCATTCAGGAGGTGACTGATCTGAATTAAAATAAGAAGCTGATAGGCTCTGATCAGTGTCTTCAAAGAGAAGAAGAGAATGAATTATAAAATTAGATAAGAGTGAAGAAATAAGGAATTAGAAACCACGGGTGGGGGGGATCAAAAGCTGTACAAAAGAGTCATTTAAGAAGCAAACTAAAATGAGGCATAATTGTGAGTAACTGATAAACTGGTAAAGAAAAAACATACTTGACATAGACCTTAGGGACATTCTTTGAGTGACTAGGAACCAGAGCAGTGAACAAACAGGATAAAATGTAATCCCAGAACCTATTTGGCTCTTCGATGTATAATATTTATGTAAGAAGACCTAACAATGGTTATCAATAATGATTATATAAAAATGGAACAGCTCACAGAGGCTAGAGGGAGAAGGCTAGTGGACTTAGTCAGGGCTAACCTAATTATAGGCACCAAAATCCTTACATATCAAGAGATAATGTAAAGTTGATGGAACAAAACATACAGGTTTAAGTGTATTATTTAAGGCTATAAATAAAGCTCATAAAATAAAATGAAATAATTGGGTTGTCAGGGGCTGAGGTTGGGGGACAGGATTGTCTGCAAAGGAGCATAGGGAGCTTTATCTCAGATACACATTTCTACATCTCGATTTTGGTGGTTACATGACTATTTAGGTTTGTCAAAATTCACAGAACCATGCTGCAAACAACGATGAATTTCGCTGCATGTAAATCCTAACTCAATAAACTTAGGAAAGGGAAAAACCTAGGAACCGATAAGTGGACTAAACCCTCATCTTTCACACTGGAGAGTCAAAAGAAAATGTACAAAGTTAATAAATCCACCAATAGCGATGCAAGCATAGAGCTGGCAAGGGAAACCACCATCACAAGAAACAGCCAAAAGAACTTCTTGGAAGTAGCACTGGTGGCACAGACTACTATTTAGCTTCATAATTTTACTCTCTACATGTTTTACTTATTTATTGGCATTGGCATTTAAACACAATTCTGAAACATTTTTAAAATGCAGAAAGGTTTCCAGAGTAGTACAAGAACTTCTATTAAATATCTATGCCATGCCCACTAATGTCCTTTATAGCAAAGGGCCCAATCCAGGATCACATATTGCACCCAGTTACCACGTCTCTCTAGTCTCCTTCAACCTGGAACAGTTCTTCAGGATTTCTTGACTTTCATGACCTTGATTTTTTTTTTTCTTTTGAGACAGGGTCTCACTCTGTCATCCAGGCTGGCATGCCGTGGTACAATCACAGCTTACTGCAGCCTCAGACTTCTGGGCTCAAGTGATCCTCCCACTTTGGTCTACCAAGTAGCTAGGACTACAGGCATGTGCCACCACACCTGACTACGTTTTTAATTTATTGTAGAGACGGGGTCTCATTATGTTTCCCAGGACCATCTTGAATTCCTGGACTCAAGAAGTTCTCCCACCTCAGCCTCCGAAAGTGCTGAGATTATACCCGGGAGTCACTGTGCCCGGCCCTCATGACCTCGATATTTTTAAAGATTACAGGCTGGTCATTTTATTTTGTTCTTCAATTTGGGATTGCCTGATGCTTCTTCCTGATTAGATCCAATTTATGTATCTTGGCCTTGATGTCATAGATGGGACGCTGTGTTCTCACTGCATCCTGGCGTGTGGTCTGAGAGGTTGATTTGCTTACTGGGATAAACTAAGATAGCATCTCCCAGGCTTCTTCACTGCAAAGTTAGTTTTCTCCCCTTTATAAAAGCATTTTGAGGAAAGATGTTTTGAAACTATTCCATGCCCCACTTTCACCCATTTTCTTAATATCCATTGATGCTTTTTACCTGAATTGGTTATTGTAATGATGACTGCCAAATGGTACACTAAATGGATTCAAAAATTTCTATTTATTCAATGGATTATAATAACCTATTAGTATTATTATTTTGATTTTTGACTCATTCCAAATATGGTCAGTGGGAGTTTCTTTGCTGGCTTCTGTGTCATTTCGACATGTGCCTATCATTCTTTGAGCACTTCCTTACTGTCTAGCAAAGGAGATAATCCAGGCTCATCTTGTTCTTTCCCTACCTTGGTCCTGGAGTTAACCAGTTCCTTTCACTGATAAGTGGCATTTAGAAACCAAGCTTTGGGTGATTGGTGTGCTCACTGCTATAGAGTCTCAAAGCTTCCAGGACTTCTCAACGGACCTAGTTAGGATATACACATAGGCATGTACACATGCATATACACACATTTACATGTATATTTATTTTTATATCTATTCATACATGTCAGTATGAACTCAACAACTCTGAGTTCACATTGACAACTCTAATTCCATTCCAATTTCAAAGAGTTTGGCTTCACCCTCTTTTCCATGTTTGTATCTGCTTCCTCCAAGAGTGAGAAATACTGGCTCCCATCATCCTCAATGTATTGACTTTTCTGCTTATTTCCTTGTACGTATCAAGTCTCCAGGTTGCCATCTCACCTGTACACCCTTCTGGTTGCTCTGGCCTCTGCCAGGCTGCCTTCCCATCCCACTTGGAATTATTTTGGTAAAACTTAAAAAGAAAAAAATTAGTAACCCAATACTATAAAAGGAATAAAAAAGGAGATTGTGGGAATTTGTCACAAGCAATATTTTTACTGCTCTAACAGTCATGGTCCCTGATATGGTTAGGCTTTGTGTCCCCACCCAAATCTCATCTTGAATTATAATCCCCATAATTCCCACGTGTCAAGGGAAAGACCATGTGGAGGTAACTGAATCATGGGGGCAGTTTCCCCCATGTTGTTTTTGTGATAGGGACTTCTCATGAGATCTGATGGTTTTATAAGGGGCTCTTTCCTCCTTTGCTCAGCACTTCTCCCTCCTACTGCCTTGTGAAGAAGTTGCCTTGCTTCCTCTTTGCCTTCCACCATGATTGTAAGTCTCCTGAGGTCTCGCCAGTCGTGCTGAACTGTGAGTCAGTTAAACATCTTTCTTTTATCAATTACCCAGTCTCGGGCAGTTATTATCAGCAGTATGAAAATGGACTAATATAGTTTCCATTTTCTCTACACGCCACCACAACTGTGAAGTACTTTAAAGTTTGATCTGTTCTAGAAAGAAGTGAGAGGGGCAGGGCTTGGATCCATAATTCCCCTAATCAATATCGTGCTCTGCCATGCACATGTGAACGCGTGCGTGCACACACACACACACACACACACAGGCACCACACTTTATGCTCTGGGTGCCTGGTTACCTGAGTTTACCACTTGGAGAAGGTCACTACCTGAAATGTCGCAGTAAATGGTCTGTTGATAGAGCCTGGCTTCTAGTGGGTTAAAGTACACGGTGATTTCAGCTGATGAGTTGGGCCAGACATCACCTTCCTGAAAAACATGAAAGAATCATTGAAAAATAATATGACAAAAGAAAGACACTGCTTTTAAGTGTTATTATATTATAACTCTATGAAATTTTTTTTCATAAAATTGTATATGTTTAAGGTATACAACATGTTTTGATATATATTTGCATAGTGAAATGATTACTGCAGTCAAGGAAATGAACACATCTATCTCCTCACATAGTTAACTTGTGTGTGTGTGGTAAGAGCACCTGGTCTGTCTACTCTCTTAGAAAATGCCCAGTATATCATACATTATTATTAACTATAGTCACCATGCACTACATTAGGGTTCCAGAACTTATAACTACAAGTTTGTACCCTTTGACCAACATCTCCCCATTTCCCCCCCACCCCACCCTTTGATGCCTGGTAACCACCAATCTCTTACCAAACTGTCTCTATGAGTTTGACCTTTTTTTAAAGATTTCACACACAAATAAGTGAGATCATGTGGTATTTGTCTTTCTGTGTCTGGCTTATTTCACTTAGCACAATGTCCTCCAGTTTCATCCATGTAGTCATAAGTGGCAGGAACGCCTTCTTAGTAAGAGTGAATAATATTCCATTGTATGTATACACTTCTTTTTTCATTCATCTGTTGCTGGACACTTAGGTTGCTGCCATAACTTGGCCGTTGTGAATAATGCTGCAATGAACATGGGGGTGCAGAGATCTCTTCAAGATCCTGATTTCATTTCCTTTGGGGATATACCCAGATGAGGGATTGTGGGATCACATGACAGTTCTGTATTTGATTTTTTGAGGAATCTCTATACTGTTTTCCATAATGTCTGTACCAATCTACATTCCCACCAACAGTGTATAAGGGTTCAATTCCAGGAAACTTAAAGGGAACATTTTTCTAATAAATACAAGAAAGCATTCTTTCACCCAGCAGACAGTAAACATACACTTCTTGATAACTTATGAGGTGGTACAAATTGGAAACAAACTTCAAAGGTAACTTCAGTGACTTTATGAACATATAATGAGTTACTAAAGGAAATTAGGATGTATAAGACATTTTAAAATGTATATTCAGTGACTATTCACTGTCTGCCCAATGTGTTCCTAGTACCAGGGCTTCAGAGAAGCAGAAAGGTGTGGGCCGTGACTGCAGGGAACTCATACCTTAGCCCTTAGCGGGATGATAAACATGTATACAAACATTTTACAGCATATGTGGTAAGTGCTGTGTCTATATAAATACAGCCCAGAGGGGTCACAGAGGATGAAGTACTTGACTTCCTTGGTGGAGGTACCATGTTCTTAACTTTTGAGGTGACAGCATAAGAAAACATTCTTATTCTATAAAAACAAAGCAATGGCCCGAGGTAGAAGAATAGCTCGGTCAAACCCTGCTTCTACTCCAGTGCGGCATTTCTCCCTTTAATTGGAACCACCCAAAAGTCAGAATCAGGAAACCAAGTTTTAAAATGGTAATGCAAAATGCAATGTATCAGAATCTCCTTGTGAGGTATACTTTAATTTTTTTAACTACGTAAACTGCAGCCTCTGCATTAGCTTCTCAAGGCTGTAAAAGGAGATCCTGATAGCACTTGCCTCAAAGGGGTTCCTGAGGTCTGACGAAGTCATGCAAGTCAAACACTTTGCCCCATGCTCAGTCAGAACTCAGTAAGTAACTGACTACTATGATCGATGTTATTTTTGTACTACTTAGAAGGACTAAGATGAAAGTCTTGAAAAGGGGAAAAGATGTGTGTGTTTTTTGTATGATTTTTGTAAATAGGGCCAAATGAACATAAACGATCAACACATCCAGAAATCTATAAACAGTCCCGCCAGCTAAATAGAAAACTAAGGAAAGACAACTTGATAAATAATTAGGCTCCAGCTCCAGACAGTCCCTGGTGCATTCTCTATTTGCAGTCTGGCTAGAAATGAACATACTTCTGGAATAAATAATTTCAAAAGGAATAAAATGGTTTAAAAATGCAGACATCAAACAAGAGGGGGAAAATAAAAATCTAGAGTCGATTTGGGTTTATTTATTAACACAATCAGTCTGATCAGTGTACTCTGCAGGCAGTGTCTCTCCTGACTGCAGAATGAGGGAGGCACAAGGGCTTAAGGGGTAGCAGAGAGGGCTGTAAAATCATGCAGGTATGATACCTCGGGCCATTGCTCTATTTTTATAGAATAAGAATGTTTTCTTATGCTGTCACCTCAAAAGTTAAGAACATGGTGCCTCCACCAAGGAAGTCAAGTACTTCATCCTCTGTGACCCCTCTGGGCTGTATTTATATAGACACAGCACTTACCACATATGCTGTAAAATGTTTGTATACATGTTTATCATCCCGCTAAGGGCTAAGGTATGAGTTCCCTGCAGTCACGGCCCACATCTTTCTGTTTCTCTGAAGCCCTGGTACTGGGAACACATTGGGTAGACAGTGAACAGTCACTGAATATACTTTTTAAAATGTCTTATACATCCTAGTTTCCTTTAGACCTCACATCCCCAGATCAGCCTGTGAGAATGAAGTCTCCCTGAGGGTGGTTGCCATTCTAGCCCAGCCCAGACCAGAGTAAGCCATCCCTGGTTTGGGTAGGGGCCGAACAGCAACGACCCTCAAGGAGACTTCATTCTTCATGGCTCTTAGCAGGTGCTCAAAAAATATTTGTTGAATCTGCCATGTCTACTCAGTTTGCACGTTGTGTAGTCAGTAGCAGACACCTATTCATCTCTGCAACCTACTTCTACCATTTTCTCCTCATCCAGAACCTCAAAAGTCACACAACTGTAGAGCCAAAAGACACCTATGAGATCATATGGGGAACACAGAAGTCCTGAGCACTTTCATTTATATAGGCATTTCACTGTGGCGCCCTTCTAAATCTTGAAATAAGTATCTGTTTTCTTCTGATAAATGATAAATACCTGGCCCCTTTTGATTGGTGGTGGGGGTTTTAGTGATATGGAGTGTTGGAAACACTCATGGCTAGATTTGACTAAGGGGGCCAGGAGATGAGGCAGCTCAGCCAATAACTGGCGTATCAGTAGGTATCTCATCTCAGGACTACTGAAATCCTGGGCTCCTTACTCACCCGTGACACAAACACATTCCTTTGGTGGGTTTATACTCTGCTCTGTTTCGGTAAACAGAATGGACACAGCTAACCTGCTCCTACACAAATGGATTGACCAAAGGGCCAGGGGCTATCTTAGATCCTGAGGGAACCCAGGGTAGGGAAGTCTCACCAGAATCATAGGAAGCGGCCCCCACTGGAAATCATATAAGCTCAGTACAAATGGGCAAGTCAAGGGTCTTATGGTTTGAAGCGGACTGGGAATGCTTTCAAAAGTATCCAGAGTCCATGTGCAGAAGAAGGTAACACACTTCAGTTTCTCTCAGAAACACTCTTGGACTGCCATCATTAAAGAGGTATTATTAGCAGAACTGGTGGGATGTGAGTGAGTGGTGATAGACACACTTTAGAGAAGTGACTGGAATCTCCCCAGGGGAGGGAGCGTTGACATTCAGAAGCCATCAGTGAGAGATCATCCGATATGGACGCTCCTGGGAGATGGAGAAGCCCTTCTGCTTGGTGGGAAGACCAGCGCAAAGAAATCCGAATCCACAGGGTTCAGACTGAGCAAATGGAGCTGTGGGCTCAGTGCTTACTTATTGTGGGCTGCAGCTGTCTTATTCTGCCTGCGACATCCACTTGTAACCTGCAGCCTTCACTGAGCCTGAGAGATAAAGGAAGGACAAACCCGATGTATTATAAACTCCTCGCCTGGGCTTGAAGCAGGTACCGTGTATCAAGAGGGTTATGTGTATCTGAAAACAGCATGCTCATTCAGTTTCCTCTCACAGAGGGATGCTTCAATGTTATTTCATTTGAAGGAGTTAGGAACATGCAAGATATTTCTACTTTTCAGTTGGGATTTAAGTAAAAGAGAAAGAACTTCTATTTCCTTACAGCAAAAACTCAATATAGCATTTTCTATCAAATAGGAGAGCAAACCTCAGAAATAGGTAATAAGCCTCAACTTCAGACCCCACTTCCAGTTTCATATATTTGAAAGATTTCATATGACTTCTTTAACACTTCTGAAATTAAATTCCATGTCATTTATGTCTCTGAAAAAAAATCTTTCTTTCTTTATTACTCAGTTCTAACGTTTCTGAAAATCAAAACATCCAGAAATTTCCTTCCTGGCTCTGACATCAATATCCCTTCTTCCCAGTTCTACAAAACCTGCCCCATCACACAGATCTGCGTCCCCCATTCTGCAAGTCTTCTACATGTGACCCCTCTCCCATGACTGCCTGTTTTCCTGCTCCAAATGAGAGGTTGGCTACATAGGATTGAATCTGTAAGTGACTATGACCTTGTTTGTTCAAAAGAATTATCAAAATGGCCTTCAGTTCTATTGTAATTATCTTCCTTCTTGGTCTTAATGTTCCTTCAGATCCGTAATGAGTAAAGTAATTGCATTTTAGTTATTAATAAAGTGACCTGCTAGAAAAAAATCAACTTTAAATTTTCAAGCCTAAAGTTAATTCCCATATTGTGATTTCTACCCAAATTATTAAATATCTGTGGACACGGAACTTCATGCTTCCTTCTGGAACAAGAATAAACAACCAAGTGAATTGATGGCCACAGTTCTGAGACTTTCTGAAAGCTGTCTATGAACAAACAGCCACTGATTTGTGATAGATGATAAATATGATCACGAGAAAGGTGTCATTTAAAAGTGCTCACCTTTTAAAAATTGTATCAGCAATACTTAAAGTGGCTCTTTAAAAAAACTCCCTTGAAAATCCTTAAAAATCTTTTTGAAAAATTGCCTTCCTTCCCCTCTATTATACCTCTACCTCCTTTCCTTCGTTTCTCCCTTCCTTCCTCCTTCCTTCCTTCTTTGAAAGATTATTTCTTATAAATCTTGCCAAAAAAACCAAAGTGCAAGAACAGAAACTTATATACATATTTAATTTACCTGGCTTA